AGCTCCCCTCCTCGTTTTTAAAAATATTACAGCTAGCCCCGTTTATCTCAACTCTGAAATTAAACTCATGGTTGGATTTTTCGTAGTTTTCTGAAGTCAGCTGGATAGTTTTTATAATTAGGCGAAAACTGAAGGCCATTTTTTGAAATAATATCATCTGCCTTAAAAAACTGCAGATGGATCTTCACCCGAAATTGCCGAGGACTCGGCTAATGACGGCTTAAAGGTCAAAGCAGACAAATTTAGAGGAGCTCTTGCCCAGCTGCAGAAAGAGCAAGACGAGGAGAAAGAGAGAGAGAAAGAGAAAGATGAAGGGAAAGCTCAAAGTGAAGCAGAACCCGAGTCTTCTTCTACAGGTCTAAAATCTATCTTTCTTTCATGTTAATGCTTTAATTATTCATATATAAAAGCTTTAGATACTCAACAAGAAGCTGCTTCCTCAGTTACAGTTACTGCTGCTATATCTGAGAACGAAGACAATAATGCTTCTCAAGAAGCTGCTTCAGTAGCTGCGCCTTCACCAAATCTCGAAACTCAAAGCTGAAAACTTGGAGAGAGAGTGGAAAGAACATGTAGCGTGATTTTGTTTTAAAAACATGTAATAATGAGTTGGAAGAGTGTTGTTTTTGGACAATCATTCGAGTGAAGGTAATATTAGTCCATTACCTATTATTTCAGGACTAATTGCTTTTCTATCTATTGGAGCATTCGATTTTATCGGTAAATGCATTGCAGTCATTGAGTTTTTTACGGATGGATAAAAAAAAACACACACATACACACATACTCGGTGTTTGCAGGTAGGGTTAAATTTTCACTCTCTTTGTTTCTTTTATTTCTTGTTTTCTTCTCTGTAAAAGATAAAGAGCTCAATCTGAGGATCCAAAAAGAACTTTTAGTATCATTTGAGGCAATATTATATATGCTAGAAATTGGCTGCATACTTGTGCATGGAAAATGAATAATTTGGCCATAATTGTCTGCATTTTTGTTAATAAAAACTATAACAAGTCGATTAGTCTAACTGTTATGCAGTTACGCGGACTCACAAACAACTTTGTGTTAGTTTATTGGTTTAGTTAGGGATCGTCTGAACATATTAAACAGTTTCAAAGTTAGGTATAAAATGATAAGGTGGCAGAAGTTCTTCGTTTTTCTATCGTATGTGTTGATCCAACAGTTGAAATCTCGTAAGATAGTGCCCGAGTAAGATGATTTTTTTTTTTTTCAATTTTTCTAATGAATGGCTTTGAGTAAGAATTAACATACCAATTATTTTCAAATATTATTAAAACGTTTTATTTTCCTTCGATTTTTTTAATTATCATGTGGCATTAATTAAATTAGATTAATAAAAAAATTAAGAAATAAGTACCCTCTGCACGAGCTCAACTTTCTGTACTGCCCATTTAACGAGATAAAAAAATAAAAATAAAAATCGCACATCAATTTCATTAAGCCTAAATGACGAAATTGTGAAAATTTCAATTCTACTTTCTCTATCATCGACGCCCACCACCACCCTCACCATCTTCTCCACGCCGGACTCCGCCTTCTCCACTTTCGGTCAGCCGTCTCTCGCCCACCTCCTCCTTCACTTCTCCCCCTTCTCTCTCTCTCCCCAATCCCTCCTCTCCCTGCCCTTCTCCTCCACAGTCCCGTCCCTCTCCCCCGTCAGCCACCTCGTCGTGACCTCCGGCCAGCCTGAACAAATATCCATCAACAACGTCGAATTCTCTGATACCCCCATTTTCGACGACGGATTTGTGTTCGTCTACGCAATTGACGGTTTCTTCAACCTGAATTTCACCCTAGCGTATGCAGATTCGGCCAACCCGAACCCTAGATCCAATTCCCAGTGACTGAATTAATGTGTCATTATTGAGGTAAATTGGAATATGTTGCTTTGCTATTTGTGAATTGGATGATTATTTTGTCATTATTGCCATATATTAATGTGTTATCTATTGAAATAACTTTATGGAGAATCTCAATGGAATTTTTTGGTTTTCACTCCTAGGGCGTGCCAGATTTGCTGCCGAGATTAATTACTTTTCAGCTCACAGACGAACAAATCACCTCGGTTCAGGAGGTAAAGAAAGTCTGCTCAAATTTGATGGGCGTTTTTTTTTTTTTTTTTTTTTTTTTTTTTNTTTTTTTTTTTTTTTTTTTTTGTTTCATTGATTTGTTTGTTGAACTTCGATTTATTGTTGTTGTTGTGGTGGTTCGTACAATAGGAAGTTACGAGGATTAGAAATGAACATCTTGATCATGCTTGTGCTGTGATCAATGACCGAGTGAAAGTTTTGTTAAAGGTGACTCGAGCTTTTGGGGCCGGTTTTTTCAAACAGGTTTGTATATGTGCGTATGTATGTTCTTCTGAAGTATATTCTTTGTGGTTTTGAATATTTGCTCTTTCACCCCGATAAAGCATAATATGGTTCCGATATGCTTGCTAAATGCAACGTGTCCTTGTAGAAGGTTTTCAGAAATGTATGTCGAGTTGCTTTTGCAGTTTTATTTTTATTATACAAAAGGAAAATATATTGTTTTATAATAATTATGAATTGATTGATGAGTGTTTCTTGATGCTTAGATGTTATCCAAATGTTCTTGAGCTATTAAACCATAAATATTAGGCTATTTGTTTTATTTGTGGCTTTACTGTTTGTGAATTGAGGTAAATTAGATGATTATTTGCTTTGTTTATTAGACTATAGAGAATTCGAAATGATTCCGGGTTTTGCAGTGCTAGTTGGTGAATATAGATAAATGGCTACTTGTGGAATTTCGATCGTTCCAACTGTGTTTTCTTGTGAGTTGTGATACTATTTTAGTCTATTTTCTGAAGTTCCTCTGTTTTACTCATCGGCCAACCGATATGTTTTTTCTGTCAGATGAGAAGAGAGGTGAAAATGGAGACTCGAAGGTCGGAAAAAGTGATGGGCTGCGTTTTCTATTTTTCGATGGCTCCGATTACCCCTTCTTTCTAATTTACTTGTGTTAATTTTTAGGAAAAAAAAAATTAAAGTAGCTTTTTTATTGTTAGTTTGATGTTTATTTGATGTTTATCTATGGTTTTCTTGAAGATGAGAGCTTGAATAATCTGTGGATGTTTTTTATAAAGTACATTTTTGAGTGTTAATTGATCTATGATTTCATTACGTGTGTTAATTTCTGGAAAAAAAAATTTAGTTTTTGAGAATTAATTCGATGTTTATCTGATGTTTATCTATGATTTCTTGAAGCTCGGAGCTTGAGTAATATCTAGAAGTTTCTTTTATTCACTGCAAATGTGACTCAGGTATTTTGATGTAGAGAATTTGAAGGCGACTGTCACGTTGTTGTGCCGATTGGTGATCGTTGTTTGTGTATGTGCTACTATGTGATATATTTGTGTTTTGAATGATTTTGAAAGTTAATTTGATTGTTAATCTGTAATCAAAGATATGATTATATGGTTATTAATTAGTTTTTTTTTTGTTTATTTGTAGTTTATATTCAGTTTAATTTTTTAATTAATTAGGTTTTCTTTTGGTTTATATGTAGTTTATATTCAGTTTATTTTTTTAATTAATTAGGTTTTTTTTGTTTATTTGTAGTTTATATTTAGTTTATTTTTTTAATTGATTTTGTTGTCTATTCATTTCTGTGTCATTTAGTTATAATTATAAATTAGATAATATACTTAAGATATACTTAAGGTTAATCAGTTTTTTATGATTTTTAGTAAAGAAAATAGATAATATACTTATTATATGCTTAAGATATATTTAAGATTCACCAGTTTTTTTATGATTTAGTAAAAAAATAAAAAATATACTTAAAATATACTTATGATTAACCATAAATTCTAATTAATTTTTAATAGTATAAATGTAATAAATTTAGGATAAACTGAAAATGATCTAAATGAATTTATAAAAGATAACGGTATGGTTTTCAAATAAAAAGGCTTTTGAATTTTGAATAAATATTTGAAATTGTTTACAGGCTTTCAATCAAAAGGCTATGGAAGACATAGGTGTAAAAAGGCTATGGAGCACATTATTGAAATTATTTTACTGGTTTTGTCGAATTGGAATAGGTTTTTTAGAGTTAATACTACAAAATTGTAGCTGAATCATCTGGGCTTAATGGTTAAAAGGCCCAAATAGCATAAACCAACAACTAGACCCCTTGTGGCCCATATGTATCCATCTAAGCCAGCGCCTAATCCAAAAACCTCCCAAAACCCTCTCTCCCTTTCTCTCTCCTCTCTCCATAGCTCCTGCAACTCCTACCATGCTTTCTCGCTTCATCTCCAAATCTTCCCAAATTCATCGTCTTCTAACCCTAATCCCGTCACAGACCCACCTCGTTGTCCCCAAATCCATCACCCAGAGCCCCTTATTTTCAAGACCCGCCCACCATTTCGCCCCAAGAAATCCCCATTTCTCGTTTTTCTCTACAAGCGGGAAAAATGGAAACTCCGGCGATGATTCAGCTACCTCAACTACGGATTTGTGGAAAATGTCGTCGGATTTCGACCAAGACATCGATTCCGTGTTCTCTATTGATTCCGGGGACCTCGAGGGATCCCGCAGCCCGAACGGCGGCGTAGCGGAAGCCGGAGATGGTGGGGCCGGTGATAATTTTGGGGGTGTGGAGGAGAGTGGTTCCGGCGGCGGGAGTGTGGATCCGGCGGCGGGAGAAGATTTTCAGCCGTGGAGTTTTGCGGCGGGGGAGAAGGAGAAGTCGGTGGAGGATTTGTTTGGTATTGAGGCAGAGGCAGGGAGTGTTGTGGAAGGGTTGAGTGGTTTGGGAGATGGGGTGGGGAAGGAGATCGATAGGGTCGAAAAGAGCGAGGAGGAGAAGCAGCTTGAATCCGAGGCCAAGGCTTTAACTGCTGTTCTCCAAGGTGTGTTTTTAACCTCATTTGAATGCCTTTTATCACCTGTGTGCTGCATAGACTGATAAATACGCTTACTCAATGTGATGGTGGTGTAAGTACGTAGTTTCTGTGGGGCTGTGGTGTTGAAGGTTGTATAAGGAAGTGTATATACTTAATACATCTCCCTCTGTGCGTGTGTGTGTGTGTTAAGTTTGTGTCTAATATTCGGCTTCTGCTATTTGGTAGTATATCTTTCCGGTGTTGGGAATTTGAGTTTGTAGTTACTTTGGATTCATTTGATGAGTAAGAAATGGGGATATGGAGTTTAAGAGTGATGTGAATGACATGATTGCTGGATTAATAGGTGTTTACATTCATTTGTTCGATATCTTCGAACTGAGTGTCTCGATAAAAATATATGCTTCGTGTTGCGAGTTCATTGATTGATGCCTATACATGATTTAGATGATTGAACGATTTTCTTGTGATGTCTTTAGAGTGTAATTTTCAAATAGCATAACTTCCCAGATGTTTGCTTTATTCCTTAGTTCCTTTCTAAACTTGACAATGGGTGCAGTTAAGCTATAATAGTGAAATGTGTAAAATAAGTTAAAGCTCTTGACAACGTGGTTCCACGTCTACATGTTACTTTTGGGTTTCCTTTGCCAAATACATATTTTTGACAGATATACATTCTTCAGGCTGGGTTTAGTTTGATTAGTTCGCTCATTCTTTTGCATGTACAGTAATATTCTAGTCGTTTAAATCTATGTTACATGAAAACATTTTATTAACTACCCGTATTTGAGATATCTGGCTTATCACCTAACTTCAGTAGCAAGTTTCTTATTCATTTATCCCTATTGGAAGAACAGGGGTTGAATTTCCTTAAGATTCGGAATACTGTACATGCAAAGCATTGTGCTTTTCTTTGCTATTCTCCAGGAATGCACCTTCTGGATTCTGATTGTAGAGTTCTTCATTATTCTTGATATATTTACATTAATATTTTAAACTGGGATCTCCGCAAAAATAAGTTCAAGATTGTATGTTGACTCATGTTGTAAATTTCTTAGATTATGAACTAATGCCCATTGTTCAAGTGAATTCAGGACAGTTCTACACCAATTAGTTCCGCTTACTATCCATACGTAGAAATTCTTGCTTAGTTCACTTAAAACATTTATTACTGAGAAGAAAGACTTTGTTTGACCTGGTTAACCATTTTTGGTCCAAAGATCTCGATTCTAGGATACTCTGCAAAAACCTATTTTCAATTTTGCTTCTATTTTCAGGCCAAGATCGTGCATTTGGCGATCTCATTGCCTCATCAGGAATAACCGACGAGATGCTGGACAGTTTAATTGCACTGAAGGATTTCGAAGGCATCAAAGGACTACCCCCTCTATCCGAAATCGAGGACATGCGTTACCAAAAGAACACCAAGAAGTCGAGCAGAGCCGAAATCGAACGCCAGAAGCAAGAGGAGGTGGCTAAGGCACGCGTCAGGCAAGTTGATGCCAAGGGAAGAGCTTACGGGACCGGAAGAAGGAAATGCAGCATAGCCCGTGTCTGGATCCAGCCTGGCGAGGGGAAATTCTCGGTGAACGATAAGGAGTTTGACGTGTATTTCCCGATGATTGATCATCGTGCGACTCTCCTTCGGCCTTTCTCAGAGACGAAAACACTCGGCATGTGGGATGTCAATTGTACTGTCAAAGGGGGTGGCACCTCAGGTCAGTATTTCCGCTCAAAATGGATTTTTTTGGTTAACCATGATTAATTTGGAAAAAAAAGGTGGTATGGTTAGTTGGTAGTGGAATTTTGAGTTTATAATAAAATAATATTTATAATAGAATACTTAAAGTTGATTTGACGTGAAAGTATGAGCGGGATGGTGTGAAGTGATGGGTAGTTAAAATTATGTGAGTGGATGAATAGTGAATTAAAGTTGATGTGATGTGTAAGAATGATTTATTGGTATTATTTAATTATTTTGATAATACTGAGGATGGTGTAGTGGAACTAAAGTTGAGTTAGATTTTGAGTATGAGTTGAGTATGGATTGAGTTAATTTATATACAAACACACTCTTCAGAATTCTCAGCTTCTCATTAAAGCAGGAAGCTGTGTTTTGACTGTTGTATGCCTTTGACGAAATTTCTTTTACTAATCTTAACAAAGTAGTGATACTTTTGTCAGAGAGTTCATGCGTTAGATTTTGCTTATCTTTTGTTACTTATTTTTCTTGGCTCTTAGTCACAGATTTTTGCTCCCTTTCTTTGTGTATTTATGCACTAACAAACCTTACAGGCCAAGTTGGAGCAATCCGTTTAGGCATCAGCAGAGCATTACAAAACTGGGAACCGGAATTTCGTCCTCCTTTGAAACAAGGTTTCATTTTCTAGGAACTTAGTTTTCTTTTCCTTTTTCGATTTTTGTGTTTTCCTAATTCGACAAAATAAGTAAACTTATCGGCCACGGATAGTATATGTGGATAGCTAAAACTAATTATCTTTGAGATCTACTCATTCTCTCTTAAAATTAGAAGCACCCCTAGTTTTGTGTTTACATTTCTGCTGGGGTTTACCTTGTAAAACAAACACAAACTTTTTAGTAATTCTCCATTCATATTAAGCCATTTGATATCAAATTTCACGCCAAAAACATTTTAAGCTGCAGAGGCTAATTATTCTAATCATGTGCATTTGTGTTCTTTCTCTTCAGCTGGTTTTCTGACGAGAGATCCGAGAGTTGTGGAGAGGAAAAAGCCCGGCAAAGCAAAAGCAAGGAAAAGCTTCCAATGGGTTAAACGTTAGAAAAAAACCAAAAACCGGATGTTTTTT